AGAGTTCTAGTCAAATATCCGTAACAAATGCATTGTAAAGTACACCCGAGAGTTTTTTACTATTTGCGGCGATCAAAGGACTACGAAAATGAGTTTACTTCGCTTGTAGAGCTCACGGCCGCGTTTAATCAATCTCTACTACGAATGATTGTGTGGTTTCTGAAAGCTCAGGCTTTAGAAGCTTTTTTGAACTTGCAATGGTTTTGTATGACAATTAACATTACTCTTTTATCAGATTGAGTTAAAAATTGGCAATAAAAGATTATAATTCATTTTTCGAGTGACATATAAGGCAAAGTATGATAAATAAAATAGGACCAGCAGCTTAATTGAACCACCTTCATATTTCGTATAGCAGCTAGTCTATAAGTACTTTCCCCTAAAAATAATGCAACGTAAAAGTTTAACAATCGCAATCAAGGGAATTTAATACAGCAATTTATGTACAATATCTAATTATTCATGCATTTTAGCTGAGCGACAAAAAAGACCTGAAAATGCTTCGTTCCGTGTAAAAAAATTTGTATAGAGTTACTTCGCACCGTAAAGCGATTTTGAAATCGAAATCTCATTGCCTATGAAGATGAATGCCTTCTTCTCATTCAACTACAATCGTCTTAGGGAAAAAAACAAATTGGAAAATAAACAGAAACATAATCTTCCAAACTACTTATTTGTGCTTACTTTTACTAGAGTTCCAAGAATGAATAGGTCTGGTAAACGTCGCGGTGGATAACAAGAGGTTATCATAATATTGGCTAACCTCAAACTGTTACAATGTTATTTTTATAACATTTGAGCACTTTTGTTGTGACTAGTCTCTAGATCTGAACTATAGTTACTAGATCTGTGGATTAGTGGTAAAGCCACCTGCCTCAGACCCAGACCGGTTCCTAGTGAGGGCAATATTATGTGCTTGATTGTAGCCTAAGCTTGCAAATTGGACTATGACGCGAGTCAAACCTGCAACCACAGGTGAAATTAAGCTGTTAAACAATTCTACTCCATTTGGTCGATAAGTAGACAGACAAAAGTCTAGTTTCCTAAAAATTTTTTTAGTCTGTCATGTTTCATCATCATCATCATTTCAGCCATAGGACGTCCACTGCTGAACATAGGCCTCCCCTAGTGCTTTCCACGTTGCGTTCGTAAAGGTAGCAGGGAAGCGCTTGATGCAGGCTGCTACCAATCGATCAACGTGGAAAGCATTAGGGGAGGCCTATGTTCTGTCATGTTTAATATCAAAAAATATTGGACACGTATATTTTGAATTTTCAATCAATCAAATAATTACAAAGTTATGGTGGTTGAAGTTCCGCGCGACGTCACAACGTAATGCACTTTTAGGCACTCATTGACGCCTCTTCTTTTGAACTTTGGCGTACTTTACCTCTTTAAATTTCCATTAGTTTGAAAAAGTGAAAAATATGTGTCGAGTATTTTTTGATAAGTTAACTGATTAATTAAAATTTTTACTTCTTACCCCGGAAACATCCCTATTAGCGCTAGCCATTAGTTAGCATTTGTAACCTACGAGTACTTTGTACATCATGAACAACGGAATCCTATTCAATTTATCAAACAAAGCAATCGCAAATGGGCTCTAATCAGGTTTAGTTAATTATCTACTGATCCATTCGCCACACAAAGGAAGAATGTCTGGCCGGCTGAGTACTCGCTATATGGATCTAAATTTGGAGCGAGAAAATGATAATAAGTTTATTTTTAGGTTAAAGTTCAAATGGCTGAAATGATTACTAATGTAATCACTCACGTAAATATCTGTCTACTACAGTACATTTTCTAAGAAAATTCACTGGATGATAGACTTAAAATAAATTAGTTTTTATACAGGGGACAATTTTCAACTGAAATCTTTTAAAATAACTATTTAAATCGCGCATGTCAGAAAACTTGTAAAAATCTTTATTGGATGAAATACTTTACGTAAAAAGAAACTTTATAATTTGCGTCTTTTTGCCGATAAGGCTTTTGTATAAAATACTTGAAAAACCTCTATAAACAGAAAATTAAAATCTGCTTAGATCCGAGAATGGACAAAAATTGCTGAACCATCAACTCTTAACAGATCGTTTAAAAGCTTTCGTTTAGGTAAACCTCAGTGATTTTTCCTAAAAACACTTAGATAATGGAAAATACCTATAATCAATTTTGTTCAAGTAAATTACTTGAAAGTCTTTCGAATTTAATAAAATTTGAAGAAATCGATTTGGGTTCCACTTGAAATATTCAGGTATAGGATCAACTCACAAGACATTTTATGTTGGCTTACTGCATTTATAATACCTATAGCTATATTATACAAAGTAATAACTAAGTAAGTATCAATACATATAGGGAATCTATTTATACTCACTGATTAATCACGAAGTCTCAGAAACCATAACTAGGTGTTATGTTAAACTATTTGTTTTCTTGTCAAACTTGAAATTTTGCAGGTATTCCTTATAGGGTGTACACATCCGCTAAGAACGGATTTTACAAAACTCCACTTCTAAGGGGGTAAAACCACAGAATAATAATAAGTACTAGGTACGCGTACGAAATCGCCGCCGGCCGCTGGTATCCAAGTACGATTAGGTGTATTATGCCTGTTTCAGTTACAGCTCATTGAGCATGCTCAAGTCAAAAATACTGGGTCATATTATACCTACAGCTGTTTTATTTTTGTATGGATCTTGACGTCATAGTACATACGTCGACAATTCTTTCAACAATATTAAGAATTCACAGACAACACGCCGACAATCGTAAAATAGAGGTTATGCGCGAACTGGGATGCGAACCACTAAAATGTTGCGTTTTTTCGCTTTACGCGGTTTTCGAGTATCTTTTCACCATAAATATTTTATGGGAAACGTCAAAAGCACTCCTGTAACGGCTCTTCATTCAAATTCGGCTTTTATTACGAGTACAAAAAGCACAAGTATAATATGTGATCGGATGTAGACAGTTTATTGTTACGGCAGTGGGAGTAGGTGAAGTAGTTCCACCAAGATTGTGTCAACCAAGATTTCTATGTTTACTTAGTCCTCAACACATCAAACTAATAAACAAAACTTATCCGAGACTTATCCCACCACTGGAACTCCAGTACAGCCAGGATCTAAGCTTGGCCTCCAATGAAACCCAACCAGTGAAAGTTGAGTAGTACCGGGGGATAGCTAACTTTCTTGAAACCCGCGGCCGCACCGAATTTAATCAAAAGAACATAGGAGGATTTTATTAATTAATTATGTAAGTCCTTAGACAAGAGATAAAATACAATGTGTTATTGTGCAAATATTAGTTTACTTGAATAGGTAGATTTGTTTACGACAAATTATTATTCGTAACCTTAATAAAATCTACGTAACTGATTCTCTACTCCATTCACACATATTGTGTAGTCAGCGTATGTGGTATCGATAAGCCGATATTTTTATAAGGGCTCATAATTTTAAGCTCAACATAAAGTTTGGTCCAAGAATTAAGTACGCAAAATCGTATTAAGATTTTTATGGATCACATTACACTCGAACTAACTATATCTATTACATAGATCGAGGTAACAAACCAAGTACTTACTTAGTTATTTATTTACCAGCTTACTTATGTTGGTAAATAAGTAGGCTGTAGCAAACTGATGTCAGACATTAGACTTACCTAAAGCAAATCGATTAAAATATGCAGTTAAATTTCATTATTTTAAGCAAATTTAATCCCCAGGAAAGGTATGTTTGGTTAATCTACATGTGCAAATAAAATTAAATGGTCGTTACTACGAGTTTATGCAAAAAAAGTATATTAAAACCTTTTCCAGAATGTAACCAATAGTATCGGAGTAGTACACTCCGAAAACCGTATCAATATCGGTTCAGCTAAAAACGAGATAATCACGTACAAACATTCCGGTCCCTCCTAAATAGGAGGAATTATAAATATAAAGGTAAAAATGTAACAAAGGCAGCTAAAAGCTCATTACACTAGGAGCCGTATCGCCTCTATGTAAATTAATTACGTCACCTTGTATGGGAGCATAGTAAGTCTTGTCTCATAGTACACCACACCCACGCTATGTCCTATGCCTCAATGCATACTGTTACCCTATTAGTCAGTTAGCACCTTAGATAGTTGAGATATTATATCTACATTATTATAAAGAGGAAAGATTTTGTTGTTTGTTTGCTCGTAACCTATGTATAAACATCATACAAGAAGATACAGATTAAGGAAAAATGTAACAGTGGTATTTTCCCAGAAAGATCACGATGTTTGCACATTGTCAAAGTTGTATTGTTTATTCTGTTGCATGTTGTATCCTATCAGCTGCCTTCTGAACATCATCAGCCCATCTAGACGTTTATGGTACTTGCTTTATTATTTGAAGGTTCCAACGACTTAACAGTAAGCCATTATAATATGGTCGCATACCTATTTCTACCTATTCGCCCGTATTCACGAACAATGCTTGCTATGTGAAGCAGCAAATCGAACGCACAGTGTTGAATAGAGCTTTGTGATTGTTTCGCTTGTCACCCTGTGCGTCCACGCGCACTGTGAAACCTCATAGTAATGTTTGTGAATACGGGCGATTATGTATTAATAAACTTTTATTTTTTCCTTGTGAATCAAATGACTAATGAAAGATTACGTTGTTGTTGTGATGATATCATACCTACACGCATAACAAGAGTGTCATAGCTACTATACTTTTAAATTTAATAATATTATCCACCAATTTAAATCAAGACCAAGTGTCCAAAACTATACGTTTGTATTTTATTCGTATTTACAATGTCAATATTATGTAGTTTGTCATAATATAGGTAAGGTATTTGAAATAGTATGCAAGGCGGCTTTTTTAAACATACAACTGTTGACTTTGCATCTTATTGACATGAAAATAAAGTTCAAAACCAATTGACGAGATACAACCGTCTTCCACTTACAAATGAGATTGTTATTGTATGCGAGTTCAAAGATTATCGTTTAATAAGTTTAACCTCATACAGTCAGTTGACAAAATGATTCTGTTCGTGCAACGCGTTGTTTGTGTTTTCGTCACAATAGTTTTGTTGAGTGCTCAATGTTCTTCGATACGTATTAACTATGTGGAAGCAGTAGACGCAGAACCCGCAAAAGAAATAATCAAGAAAAACAATGAAGATTTACACCCTGATGAACCAGAAAATCCACCACCTAATCTGCCGTTTAAAATTAAAGTACCACTAACCAATGAAGCGCGAGAGAATCTTCTGCTGCGTGTCTACAGTGAGGACAAACTTCAGAAACTGTTGCTGAAGACTTCACCTTCGAAGACTCGTGTGCCCAGGCAAGCGTCGCACCAGCTGTACCCGAACCTGACTCCGAGCCCGTATCAAACGCACTCCGTCCAGTATTACAACAACTCGTCGCCCAACAGCAACTCTCAGTATGGTCAGACAAACCCGTATAACCAGCAGTGGCAAAACCCTAGCACACCAAGCAATCCCACGTATCCTGGGCGTCCTAACCCATCTTACAACCCAAATACCTATGGTCCATCAGGCTTCCCGAATCCATACGTGCAATACAACAATTCTCAAAGCCCAAATGGTCCCCACCCTCAAAATTATCCATCAATAAACCCGGGAAATTACACTTCAAGTCGTCCAAACTACAACCCTAGTCAGAGACCCCCGTACTATCCTCCAAATACCAAGCACCCTCAATTGAATCCAAGTTACAATCCATATTACAACTCTTCTTCGTATCACCCTAGTCAAAGACCGCCATATTACCCAGGACAAAACACTTCTCAACATCAATATAACGTTAACAATAACACTAGACCGTATGCACCTTACAATCCACCTTATAATACGCCGCATAACCCACCCTATAACACACCCCAAAACCCACCCTACAACACACCCCAAAATCCACCCTACAACACACCCCAAAACCCACCTTACAACTCACCACATAATCCATCTTATAACCCAAGCCAAAGACCACCTTATTACCAACATAATTCTTCATCACCTTACGACCCTAACAACCACAATTTCTCGAGCAACTCCTATTACAATACCACTCCACGTCCAACATTTGGCCAATACCCAAACACGAATACCAACTACCAACAAAATTTCACATCACCTTATAATTCAAACAATAACTTTTCTAGCACCTTTTACAATACCACTTCAAGACCCTTTGGTCAATTCCCCAACACAGACTCAAAGTATCCCTACAATCCTTACCCCAGCGGTTACAATCCAGCTGGATTCCCTGACAACAACTACAGACCTAGTGTCCCAAGCAATAAAGAGCTTTTTGGAACCGATGACCTTTTTAAACCCATTCTCCCCAGAAACCCTCAGTTCCCTACAGGCTACGACCCTAAAACCCAAGCAGAACATTTTGCGAAATTTGGGTATAAATAGAATCTTCTCGAAACATGTTATAGCTTTACGTTTATTCTGTTCTGATTCTTGTATATGAGTCATTTGTGTGTTACTAGAACCAAAACAATTGTATCTGTTTTTATAGTATTTTATAAATTAAATATTATATGATTAAATACTGTTTAATATTTATTCATACCTAAAATCTATGCGCCTAATTGCCCGTTTTCACCATCAATCCCTATTTTTTAAGTGACCCCTATAAAAACAAAATGCCTGTTAAGTGTTACCATAGGGGTCACTTAAAAATTAGGGATTGATGGTGAAAACGGGCATAAATTCCTCAAAGAATACTTCTAATTTTGACTTTTGACCGCACGATAGAAAAAGAATAGTGAATATAAAAACATAACAACAAAGTAGGTAAATATCTCATTACTATTGAGTAATTCAACGAATTTAACTTATAATTTAATCAAACATGAATGTAAACACATTATAAGATTAAAAACAAACGTGATGCTGACAGTTTATCAAAAGCAGCGCGGGAGCACGCCTCGCGTTGATAAGTGCTAACAAAAACAAGTCCCAAAAGTTATCTATTCGCTGTTTTTTCACATGTGGCTATACAAACGGTGCAGTTGAACAGTGCAAACCAAATTGCTTTATTGTCCAAAAGTCAGAGTCTGTGAAAATAACAGTTGGCGGCTAGTCGCGAAGTTATATCCGGGGGACACACGGAACAATATTTGAACGAGCTTTTTTACTTTTATTCATACGTTGTCAAACGTTCTGTCAATTTGTACACTGTATTTGTTTTGTTTGAGTTATACCTGTTGCTTTGCCAGCCGTTTTTAGAATGTACAGTCGCAGAATGAAAAGGTTCGTCACCTTAGTGTCGGTTTTCGCTTGCACTAGGTACTGTAAGAGTCAAACCTGCCAACATAACAGTGCAAGAAACAGTGCTGCTAACATTTAAATAAATATAACGTTTGCTAACAAATAAGGTTTTGCTTGTTTATTTTTCTATCCCATCAGTGCAATGCAATGATAACATTGACCAATTGACAATAGTTTTTTTTATTTAATAGAAATAATAATGGCAGGTTGAACCGACAAGAAGGTTTTAGTTTATCAATCATAATCTTCTTGACAAGATAAATCGTCAAACAATTTTGATCTGAATAATTTTGAACTTTACTGACGAACAGTTAAAGATTATTTTCTCTAACTCGAGATTATTCTGTAACATAGTTTCAAAAGGTAATATGTGCTCGCGATTCGTTGAAGGAATCAATTTGAAAACTGACGAACCTTTTCATTCCGTGACTGTACATCGCTTCAGCGATCACAGGTTGATTTAGATTTAGGAAGTTTGTAAAAAAAATATTTACTAGAGAGATTTTAATGCTTTTGTTTTTGTTGATGTTCTTACAGCAATTTCAAGTGATTTTACGAGTTCCCAGAAACGTTTGAGCAGTCAACATTATTAAATATTACCGAATCATAACAAGATATCAAATTACTAATAATATTAATAGCCGAAGTGATGACCTGGAGATGACATCATACGAGTACTTAGTTGTGTAGAGAACAAGATAAATACGACAATAATATTTTAAGTATTTTTATTTGCTTATAAGTAACTAGCTTTCCGCCCGCGGCTTCTCCCACGTGGAATTTTGTCTGTCACAGAAAAACTTTATCGCGCGCGACCCTGTTTCAAAAACCGGGATAAAAACTATCCTTTGTCCTTTCCCGGGACTCAAACTATTTCTACGCCAAATTTCATCAAAATCGGTTCAGTGGTTTAGGCGTGAAAGCAAGACAGACAGACAGACGGAGTTACTTTCGCATTTATAATATCAGTATAGATTAGATTTATATCGGAATCAGAAGTAACTAATGCAAGTAGCTACTGACAAAACCACAAGTATGACAGGTAAGAAAAGAGCAACAATACCTCAATGGTGTCAGTGTCGGACTGTCCGACTCAACCAAGAACCAAGGAACATAAAATATTGCTTACTGTAGTAAAGACAATATCGTGCTTCAAATAGCACATTAAACCACCATTTGATTTGGCCTTATCTTAGAACTCAAGTTACTTTCAAAAATTTGAATTTTCAAAAGAAAAAGTTCGTTGCTCGGCTCGCCACCCCACCGGGCAGTGTGTATCAAACTTTATACAGACGCCACATAAAGTTGGCCTCTATCACTACGATCGGGCTGAACGCTCGCTTTTAGATTTACTTTCCAATTGTACCAAAACTGTTCCAATCAATTTGCGGATAACTAATGTTGCGAACACATTATCAAGTAGGTACTCATACTAGTAAGTAGTACCTATTCAGACCAGAGGCCCTAGACCAGGGGTTCCCAAATTGGAAGACGCCTTTAAAGAGGGGCGCGGACCATCTGTGTACTTAAGTATTAAAAAACCTGCGACCACTGAGAGAATACATTCCAGACTGCTCGATATGACCAATAATAATCTGGACTGGAGGATGGGAGCGCGGATTTTTTTTTTATGGTCGAAAGGGGGCGCGTGTCAAATAAGATAGGGCAGGGTTTCCCTGGGACAAAGTAAGGGACAGGGACAAAGTAAGGGACAGAGACAAAGTAACATTTTGTCACAGTTTTAATTTCGAAATCGCTTCATCGAAGTAGCAAAATACAAAAAACATCAGAGCGAAGAGATTTTAAAAATGGCACGATTGTAACTTTGTCCCTCTATGACAGGAGTCACAGGAGCAGCATTTTATAGAAGTTCCAATTTTTTTGCAGAGTATGGAACGACACTATATCAAAGAGCGAGTTTGCAACGAGAACGTATTCTAATGTACTGTCGACTGTTCCTTTTAAAATAAATTAAAGTAGGTGATTCGTACATCTACGAGTCGCCAACAGTGTGCTTACCATGAGTTTACGTTAGGTGTTCTCGCTAGCGAGTGCGTCAAAAAATTCGAAGATTTTAATTTTTCAAAGTGGCCGCTAGGGACGCTGTGCAATCTGTCACATTAAATGTCATTTTTTACGCAGTCGCTAGCGAGCACACCTATTGTAAACTCATGGTAAGCACACAGTTCACAAACCGTTTAGAAATACAAACGACAATAATATAAATAAACGAAAGATACAAAACATCACCCAATATTTAAGTATATCAATCCTGTCATAATTTTCCGCCAGATGCACACGTCATCCCGATATGCCACGAACATTGTAAGGAATAGTGGACACGAACAAACTACAATTTCCCCACATGAATGGCCACGCTTTCTTTGATCGTAACTTTAATTTTAAAGGGATTTTCCTGTTCACTTATTTCCATTCTCATTATAAAGTAAATTGGTTTGGTAAGCAAGTCGTGAATGCATAAGAAAAACGAAAGAAACTTTGTAGATTATGTTAGAAGAGTTAATATGCAGAATTCTGCTACTTGACTAGATATAGGCCCGCAAAAAAATAATTTAACTGAGTGAAAGATACCTCTTTGGCTGACTTGTACCATCTTGATTTAACCGTTATAGCCTTAACAGTATTTTTTATGTAGTGTGACAGACTTTTGACATTTTTTAAAGTTAAAGTAAGATGGTGCAACTCAACCTTAGTATTTAGCAGCTGTTATTATCAGTGTGAAATTGACCGTCAAAAAAATCAAGCACAGCTAGTCAACATTAAACATTTGTAGAAAAGTTGTCGACCACGAACCGTTGTAGAAATTCTTGTGGGAGACCATATAGTCCAGTTATATACATCCTTTGGTTTACACGAATGATACGAAGGCCTATAATGTAGTAATGTACAATCAGTTAAGGAACCAAAATACATTATCCTCATGCAGCAGTGTATTTTATTCCAACATTCCTTACAAATTGTTTCCTTCTACACCTACCCTAACCCCGAAACTTGTTCATATTTGTTACATTCAACATGTTAAGCTACGCTTAGCGATATGAAAAATACAGGCCCTTTCACGCCTGTCACTCATTCTCCCGAGGGGGGTGGATTTCTCAGGATTGCGTAAGTAGGTTTGGGGATAAGAAAAAAAGGGGATGATGCCGTGACGATTTGCGGTGTTTCCGAAGAAAATACTGAGTTATTGAGGAAATTAAGCGATTTTGTGCATTTCAAAGTTCGATTTAATGTAATAGAGATAATATTTTACTAATACAGGATGTTTGGCGGAAGGTTAGACAAACTTCGTGGGTGTATAGGTAAGGTCATTAAAATACAAGTTCGCCCATTTGACCCTTAGTGAGCTACTTTTTTTTATTGATATTTTTGTTTTTATTTATTTTTTTCCAAAATATGACCTAAAACTGCTTAAATTTTTTTCTCGTGAATTTCCAACCGGTTTTTTTATTTGATATTAATATCGAATGATGTTTTTAGTCAAATAAAATATATTTCAGATCCAGATAATGATTGGATAATACGATAAAAAAATCGAAGTTTGTCTAACCGTCCACCAAACACCCTGTATAACTCTTAATTATTAAATTGTAAGCCCTCTTAACCATTAGATATGTTGTATGTTTATGGAAATGGATGAAAATTAAATGTTAGCTGACCCATGTCAATAAAATGAATCAAAAAATATGCACTTATCAGTGTAATTACTGCATTGATAGTAAACAAAAGATATTCCCTTCCACCTCGAGACAAACTCACTAAGCAATCCCGTAGTGCTTCTAATTAAGACTAATCTCTGCGGCAGAGACAAGGGCCTTCCTAATGCATTTGCTTTATTGCTCGTACGGTCCTGATGGAGACCCGATCTAACGCCCGTATTCAGAAACGTTACTATGAGGTCTCACAGTACGCGTGGACGCACAGGGTGGCACACGAACCAATCACAGAGCTCTATTCAACGATGTGCGTTCGATTTGAGCAGACATCGTTTGTGAATACGGGCGTAATGCCTGTGGTACGCGTGCTGACTACGAAGATGCTAATGCGGTGGTAAATTAAGAAAGGAACTACTAATTGAACTGCTTTTACTCCAGTTGTTACTTTTAGGGCTTGAATCACAACTGATCATCAACTGTGATTCCTTGACTCCTTAATCCTGTGTTATTTTTCTCAGTATCTTAGATTTAAGTACGGAAACATGTCGCCTGTCATTATCGACGC